TTCTTTGATTTTGTTATTAATTGGCTTATATAATTGGCTGCTCCCATGTTAGGGGCATAGATATTTACAATTGTTAGATCTCCTTGTTGGATAGACCCCTTAAGTATGATATAGTGTCCTTCCTCATCTCTTATTATAGTCTTTGGTTTAAAATCTAATTTGTCTGCTATAAGGATTGCCACCCCAGCTTTCTTTTGATGTCCATTAGCATGGTAAATTGTTTTCTACCCCTCACTTTAAATCAGGAGGTGCTGTCTTTGGGTCTAAAATGAGTCTCTTGCAGGCAGCATATTGATGGGGCTTGTTTTTTTTTAAATCAAATCTGATACCCTGTGTCTTTTGATTGGGGCATTTAGCCCATTTACATTCAGGGTAACTATTGAAAGATATGAATTTAGTGCCATTGTATGGCCTGTAAGGTGACTGTTACTGTATCTTGTCTCTGTTCCTTTCTGATCTGTGCTGCTTTTAGGCTCTCTCTTTGCTTAGAGGACCCCTTTCAATATTTCTTGTAGGGCTGGTTTGGTGTTTGCAAATTCTTTTAGTTTTTCTTTGTCCTGGAAGCTTTTGATCTCTCCTTCTATTTTCAATGACAGCTTACCTGGATATAATATTCTTGGCTGCATATTTTTCTCGTTTAGTGCTCTGACTATATCATGCCAGTCCTTTCTGGTCTGCCAGGTCTCTGTGGATAGGTCTGCTGCCAATCTAATATTTCTACTATTGTAGGTTACATACCTCTTGTCCGAGCTGCTTTTAGGATTTTCTCCTTTTCTCTGAGACTTGTAAGTTTTACTATTAGATGTTGGGGTGTTGACCTATTTTTTTAATTTTGAGGGGGGTTCTCTGTGCCTCCTGGATTTTGATGCCTGTTTCCTTCCCCAAATTAGGGAAGTTCTCCACTATAATTTGCTCCAATATATGGTCTGCCCCCTCTCCTTCTTCTGGGATCCCAATTATTCTAATATTGTTTTGTCTTATGGTATCACTTATCTCTTGAATTCTGTCCTCATGATCCAGTAGTTTATCTTTTTCTCAGCTTCTTTATTTTCCATCATTTGGTCTTCTATATCACTAATTTTCTCTTCTGCCTCATTTATCCTAGCAGTTAGTGCCCCCATCTTTTATTGCACCTCATTAATAGCCTTTTTGATTTCAACTTGGTTAGATTTCAGTTCTTTTATTTCTCCAGTATCTTCCATGCTTTTTTCAAGCCCAGCTAGTATCTTTATAATCATTATTTTGAACTCTAGTTCTGACATCTTACTAATGTCCGTATTCATTAGGTCCCTGGCAATAGGTACTGCCTCTTGTTCTTTTTTTTGAGGTGAGTTTTTCCATCTTGTCATTTTGTCCAGAGGAGAATAGATGAATGAGAGAACAAAATGCTAAAAAGGTAAAAATGACCCCAGAAAAATATACACTAAACAAATCAGAAGAGACCTGAAACCAGGGGGAAAAGAATGAAAGAAAAAAAAAGAATATGATCAGGCTGGTGAATGGAACAGAGCCACACACTAGATTTTGGGTGTATTTTGGTCTGTTGGAAGAAACCGCTTCCCAAAATTTTAAGGAAAGAAAAACTTACGTATTTTTACAAAAATAAGGATAAATATAATGAAGGGATGGAATATGACTGTAAAGATGAAAATTTAAAAGGATTTTAAAAAAGGAATTGATAGGATAAGAATTTGGTTGAAAAAAGAAAGAAGAAAAATTTTAAAAAAAAGGGGGGGAGAATGTGATCAGGTGGGAGACTAGGACAAAGCCATACACTAGATTTAGGGTATGTTTTGGTCTGTTAGAAGAAATTCTCCCAAAAGTTTAAAGGATGAAAACTTATATATATATACACAAAATAAGGTTAAGTACAATGAAGGGACAGAATATGACTGTAAAAATGATAATTAAAAAATATTTTTAAAAAGGAATTGATAAGATGTTGGCTGAAAAAGGAAAGACGAAAAATTCAGAAAAAAAGAAATAGTAAAAGAAAAAATAAAGAAAATTTTAAAATTAAATTTGAAAGACTAAAGAATCATGGGAAAAAAGCCATGAATTTTTGTGTGCTGTATTCCCCTAGCGCTGGAATTTTGCAGTTCTCATTGATTGGTAAACTTGGTCTTGGCTGGTTGTTCTTGCTGATCTTCTGGGGAAGGGGCCTGTCGTGGTGATTTTCAAATGTGTTTGCCTGAGGTGGAATTGCTCCACCCTCCTCCTCCCAGAGGAGCCTAGATCTTGGGGTCCCACTTCTCAGTGAGCCCTCAGAGCAAAGCAGTCAATCACTCCTGTCTCCCTGGTCTCCAGCTGCCCTCCGTGCTCACCCAGCCTGTGAATGAGCATTTCTATCTCTGGCACATGACCCTGTTTAGAGTCTCCAAACCCAGCAGATTCCTGCAGTGTGCTCCCGTTCCATTTCTCCCAGGGGAGGAAGGGGAGTGTCCCCAGATCTGCCGCTTGTTGGGTCCCTGCTGGAAGAGCAGTGGCCCGACTGTGGAGCAGATCATGGTTTATGGTAACCCCGAGCTGAGAGCCCACTCCTCGGCTCTGTCTCTGCAGCCGGCTTCCCCGTTCCAATACCTGGGAGCTCTGCCACAGTGAGGTACCCCAGTCTTTCTGTGACCCTGAGCGTCCCGAGACCACATGTCCCAGCGAGGGTTCCACCCCCTGCTTAGCCACTGGATTGATGTCCTTCAGCAGAGCAGACTTCTAAAAGTTCCAATTTTGTGCTCCGGTAGCCGGCTGAGGAGCCTCCCTCCCCCCGCAGGCTATCTTCCTGAATATCGCCTCAGATTCACTTCTCTTCACGTCCTACCTTCCAGCAAGTGGTCGTATTTCTGTTCATAGTATTGCTGCGATTCTTTTCTTCAATCTCCTGTTGAGTTTGCAGGTGTTCAGAATGGTTTGATACCTATCTAGCTGAATTCCTGGGACCAGATGAAATTTAGGTCTCCTACTCCTCCGCCATCTTGCTCCTCCCTCCTGCAAGATGTTCTGATTAGTGAACTGTCTTATACTGTAATGAGGAAGAATCCTGTACTGAGATTTGTACAGATTTTAAAAGTCAAATACAGGGGAAAGAATAGAGGGAAAAAATGAGAAGGTAAGAGAATGCAGAACGAATACAAGGAACAGAATATTAAAGGCTATGTCTTTGCAAGATGTTATAACCATTGGCTGCCAACAGGCAGACAGAACAAAGGCTTAAAATAGGCTTGTCAAGAGATGGTACTCAATTGATTGTTGAGTTTAGCCCGACTTTTTAAGATGCCAGCCATTTCAAAGAAAATCAGAATCAGATTTTTGGAGACCCAAGGCAGGACTAGTACTAAGCAAAATAATGAAGGCATTAGTAAATCTTTGTTGTACAACTGCCTACTCTTTTGTACCTTTCCCAACTCCACCTCTCTCTTCTAGTATCTCTAGTTCCCTCCAAATACCTAGCTTGTGCTTATTTCTAAAGGTCCCTTGACCTAAGTAACCTTTCATCCATTGATAGAACATCCCACCATTAAATCTTCCCATCCCAGATGTTAGGAGAGATATTTTAAAGCAGGTTGTACGTGTCTCTCATCCTTCAGATCGTGCCATATAAGTGCTCTCTGCATGAGTGTATTAAAACATGCCTGACTACAAACTAAAGTCTGATTGCTTCCTGCTACTGCACTAATCTTAATTCCTTGCCTTTTTGGTATCTCCTCTGAATGTCCATCACTACTGCTTCCTGTCTTGCAATTCACAAAAATAAATTCAGCTAATTGTCTAGCACTTACATTTCATCAGGAATGACAATATTGCTCTGTGTTTCTCTGAAACTACAACATTTAGTAAAATCATTTATTTAAATGATTTTCCCTTTTGGCTACTTTACTCTGAAATTATTTTATTTTATTTATTTAATTTGCTTATTTTTGTGAGTGAGAGGGAGAGAGAGCGTGTGTGCATGAGCACGAGCGGGGCAGGGAGCAGAGGGAGAAGGAGAAGCAGACTCCCTACTGAGCAGGGAGCCTGATGCGGGGCTCAATTCTAGGACACCCCAGGATCATGATCTGAGCTGAAGGCAGATGCTTAACTGACTGAGCCACCCAGGCACCCTGAAAGTATTTTATTTTTGCATAAATGAAGTTAGTATAAATCTGTTTAACAGGAATTTTTCTCTTTATTGCTCCAGGAAACTAACCCTAAAATGTCTGCATTGTTTGATCTTTGTTATCATTATTATTATACTGTTATCATTTTTCAGGGCTACCAGTTTTTACAATGTTCTGAAATATGATGAGGTAGAATATAGATTATTCACTTGAGACACGTTGTAATTTGGCTTTTTCTATTGTCTTCGTTTTTCATGTGTTTCTAATACAGATGACATTATAATCCTTAAAAAGTTAGAGAGTAAAAACACTGAACCAAAAAGGCATGGAACACAGATCCATAGAGAAAACCCAATTTCAAGACAGCAAGAAGATGCTCATAGGCATCACTGGCAAAGAGGTAAAGTATACTAAAAATCAAATGTTGCAAAGAATATGAAATATTTGTGAATAACTAGGTAAGAAAATTCTCAAACTTGGAATGTATTCTAAAGTTGCATTATGTTCCTAGTTTTATTTTTCTTGGAAATGTAGGCATATAGGTTTGGTAAGAATTTATGCCATGACAAATGAAAACAATTTTTAAAATTTATATGTGTTTCTTCCATAAGGGAAAGCAGGATAAGAATGATAAATGTTTTATACCTGTTCACAAGCCTGCCTGGTTGGTCCAGTTCCACCTTTAGGAGGCAATACAGGAGTGGTAAGAGCATAGTTAATAATCTGAGCACCATGGCATCCACATTCTGAAAAAACAAATGCTGTACGGCAGAGTACAGAACATGAAGAAAGCCTTTTTTGTATTTTAATCCTGTCGGTCAGTGCAGTCTGCATATTTTAATAAGAATGTGCTGCAGACTGCCATTGTAGAGAAGCCTTCCCAACAATTAAGGCTCTCCATGGTTTAGTCAGCAGGCTGCAATCATCTTGACAGTGTGCATACCACTCCAAGTCCCTGCCAGTTGCCCACCCAGCTTCATTATAGTCCTTGTTTGAATCCTTCAATGGCTTAGCGGGTTCTGAGACATGGAGGGATGGTGGTTATTATAGGAACAAAGCTGCTAAGAATGGTGAGGTGGCTTATTCTCATGTTTCTGAGAGAGCACGCACTCAGGGAGGAGCAGAGGGAGAAGGACAAGCAGAGTGTGTGCTGAGCGCAGGGCCCAGTATGGGGCTCCAGCCCACAACCCTGAGACCATGACCTGAGCCAAAAACCAAGAGTCAGATGCTTAACTGACTGAGCCACCCAGGCGCCCCATCCCATTCTCATGTTTCTAACTAAACATAAAATTGATCTTTGTCAGCCTTTTGGAGATCCATCTTCTTTGTTTCTTAAACTGTCTTTACACCCAAAGCAAAGCAGACAACTGAGGCAAATAGTCACATGATTAATACAAAGCAGACAGTTTTTCTCCATCTCCTTTTTCTAGTAGATAAATGATATGCCCCAACTTTGTTGGCATATGAAAACAAATTTGAAGTATTGTATACAAAGAAGACTACTATATTAAGGTAATGCAAATAGAAACAGTATGGCAAAGACTTTCCTAGAATTCGGTGAGACTCTCAGATGATATCAGACTAATGAAATGTCAAGTTTTGCAAAACCCAGTGCATAGCGTTACAACAGTGAGATCACAGATAATATTTCTGAGAGGTATGTTGAATTTACTCACTGAAAATACAGAAAATAATTATTTTTTCAAAGGATTCTCAAGATTCAGAAAGAACATTGAGAAAGGAAATGATACAAAACCATACAAAGAACCCTCTGGATTCAAGCCTGGACAAAGCTCTTTAAACAAGCAGCCTGTAAATAAGCAGGTAAATAAACACTGAGAATTAACCAACATAAAAGGCCCTAAATTTAATACAATTCTTAATATTAAGGATTATTTTAAATTCCATTGAGAGCAGAGATTGTTTCTTATTCCCTCCTGGTGCTTTGAACAGTTAGTTCTGAAAACTGTTTAGTCTATAAAAATAGGGGCAATGAAATTTTTTAAAAAATTGCCCATAGAAATGGCTTTGACAAAATATCATTATATTTGTTTTGCAAAATTGTGGTTCTTTGCAGGAGAAGTGCAATGAAAATTCTAAGTCCCAAGCAGAGAGGAGTGGAAGCCAGTCAGAGGGGAACCAGCATCAACTGGAAGGATCTCAAGGCCAATCATCAGAAAATCGACACCATTCAGAGAGATCTCGTAGCCAGTCAGAGAGTTCTCGTAGCCAGTCAGAGAGTTCTCATGGCCAGTCAGAAAGATCTCATGGCCAGTCAGAAAGATCTCACGGCCAGTGGGAAAGATCTCGTGGCCAGTCAGAGAGTTCTCATAGCCAGTCAGAGAGTTCTCGTAGCCAGTCAGAGAGTTCTCGTAGCCAGTCAGAGAGTTCTCGTAGCCAGTCAGAGAGTTCTCACGGCCAGTCAGAAAGATCTCGTGGCCAGTCAGAAAGATCTCGTGGCCAGTCAGAGAGTTCTCCTGGCCAGTCAGAGAGTTCTCGTGGCCAGTCAGAGAGTTCTCGTGGCCAGTCAGAGAGATCTCGAGGCCAATCCAAGAGATCTCGTGGCCAGTCAGAGAGTTCTAGTGGCCAGTCGGAGAGATCTCCAGGCCAATCCGAGAGATCTCGTGGCCAGTCAGAGAGATCTCCAGATCAATCGGAGAGATCTCGTGGCCAGTCCAGGAGTTCTTGTAGCCAGTCCGAGAGTTCTCGTGGCCAGTCCGAGTGTTCTCGTGGCCAGTCCGAGAGTTCCGGTAGCCAGTCCGAGAGTTCCGGTAGCCAGTCCGAGAGTTCCGGTGGTCAGTCGGAGAGTTCCGGTGGCCAGTCGGAGAGTTCCGGTGGCCAGTTGCAGAGTTCCGGTGGCCAGTCGAAGAGATCCCGTGGCCAGTCAGAGAGATCCCGAGGCCAGTTGGAGAGATCCCGTGGCCAGTCGGAGAGATCCCGAGGCCAGTCGGAGAGATCCCGGGGCCAAATGGAGAGATCCCGGGGCCAAATGGAGAGATCCCATGGGCAGTCAGAGAGATCCCGTGGGCAGTCAGAGAGATCCCGTGGCCAACCAGAGAGATCTTGTGGCCAACCGGAGAGATTTCGTGGCCAACCAGAGAGATTTCGTGGCCAACTGGAGAGATTTCGTGGCCAACCGGAGAGATCTCGTGGCCAACCAGAGAGATCTTATGGCCAATTAGAGAGAGCTCATGGCCGGTCAGAGAGAGCTCATGGCTGGTCAGAGAGAGCTCATGCCCAAACAGAAAGATCTCGTGGCTACACAGAAAGATCTCATGGCTACAGAGAGAGATCTCTTGGCTACAGAGAGAGATCTCTTGGCTACAGAGAGAGATCTCGTGGTTACACAGAGAGATCTCGTGGCTACACAGAGAGATCTCGTGGCTACACAGAGAGATCTCGTGGCTACACAGAAAGATCTCATAGCCAATTAGAGAGATTCCGTGGCCACACAGAAAGATTTCATAGCCAATTAGAGAGATCTCGTGGCTACACTGAGAGATCTTATGGTCACTCAGAGAGATTTCATGTTCTATCAGGGAGATCTCATGTCTTATCAGGGAGATCTTATGTCCTACCAGTGAGATCTCATGTCCCATTAGAGAGATCTTATGTTCCATCAGGGAGAGCTCATATCCTTTCAGGGAGATCTCATGTCCTATCAGAGAGATCTTATGTCCCATCAGGGAGATCTCATATCCTATCAGGGAGATTGCACATCCTATCAGAGAGATCTCATGGCCAATCAGGGAGATACCGAAGATATTCTCCAGTAGAAAGATTCAAAACGTCACCCAGAATTGGGTCTGATTTTGACAGGTAAAAACATAATAAATACTTAATCATTAGTACAATGTGTTGAGTAATGTGGAAATGTAAGTGCATGCTTCTTTTATATATCTATATTTTAGTGGCTAAATATGTTTTTGTAACAGACATTGTATTGAGACTAAGATATTAATAGAATGGAGGTAACATATACGTGGCATCAATTTTCTTTCAGCTTGCTGACTACCTCTCGTATCATCCAGTTTTCCAGTGGGCCCTTGTTAAGTCGCTTCATCTAGGTTGGCTTTCCTTGGCAGAGCCCCACTTACTCAGCCTCTCCTACTAAACTTCCCCACAACAAAAATATATTGACTCAGTGTCCCATTCCCTTTGAAACTTCCAACCTGCTAGGCTAGCTAATCTAACAACAAACTATGCTAGATTTGATAATATGTAATCTCTGATAATGAATTTCTGTGCTTCCTTCCTCTGTCTCCTTCCTAAAGAGTATTCAAAGTCCTGAGCACACAAATGATAGTTGTATCTCGGGGCAGCTGACCTTTTCTGCTTTCCTCCAGTCAGACCCCATAGGAGAACATGTTATTCTATGCATAGATGCAACACGAAGCTTCTGAATATATTTTGAATATATTGTGTATATTTACTGTTGCCTTAGGCTAGGTCTGTCTGCCCTGGGGCGGAGGGTGGGGAGTAATTTAATAGTATTGCAAATTGGTTGAGTTTTAAAAACCACAAGACACGTTTATTGTGATTAACTAGGTAATTGAGTAAAAGTTTATTTTTAGTTCAAAGTTCTCAGTAATTGCTTTCAGTTTGCATTGCTTACAAATGTCTAGTGAAATATTTTAGCACATATTAACAACTGCACAGAATTGCTAGTTTCAGCTAAAAAAATTATTTCCAAAATGTATGTGTGGGTTATTGTGTATATAGACAATGTCTGATGTAGGCACCATTTTAATGCTAAAGGCCCCATCCTTCTTATATTAACAGTATACAAATAATTTGCTATAAAAAAATTAAAATTCAACACTGTGATGACAAATAATATTTCCGCATTTCTCAGGGATTTTCACGTTTTACTTCATTTTATACAGTAATTTTTGTTTGTCAAGTGGCATAACACTTCCACTGAGGTCAAATGCCATATTTCTGACGTTTTACATTTTAAAATATAATGAACAATTCTGTTCAGTTTTTTCTCCTTTATCTTCTATTATTATCATTTTTTTTTGTAGTCTCAGCACAAATAAGTAGTACTTGCTTGAATAAGGTTGAAGTTATCAAATGCTGAACTCTCATAAAAGAATAAAAGAATGCATAAAGTACAGAAAATTAATATACTTTTATAACTGATCCCTTGGAGATGAATTCTTCTACTTTGTAATTTTCCATTCTAATGCCATATATAAGTTGACCAGTTAGATGTAATAATACTCTTCAGACCTGGAGTTGGCTTCTCCACCAAGTATAAAATGAAGACTTCAGTAATTTCATGCCCTCACACAAAATCTTCCCCTCGGCCAGCTTCACCAGGAGGTAAAGACAAACCAGTTCTAAGTACATTTCTGCCCTAAACAAGCCACCAATGTAGAAGCCCAGTATGGTCTAAATAAAAGACAAGTAGTTGTACGAATATCTGGAATACAGAATGACTGCATATTCAGAATATTATTTATTTATGGAGATTTACAATAACTTTTTTCAATTTTGAAAAACCAGTATGATTCTCAAAAACTCTAAACAGAATTTATTTATTTATAAATATATTTATTTATTTATATGTTCCACACCTCCAAAATACCCGATTTCAGCTTTTGCTCCTTTTTCCTGACATGGTGATGATAACCAGAGACAGAGACCTTCCTTGGCCATGAAAGTGATGTGTAAATAGAGAAGCAAAGCAGAACAAAAACTGTCTTTTGTACTCTCCACTAAGTAATTTACATGAAATGAATGGCAAAGTGTGCATATCTTTACATTAGCTGGGCTATCCACCTGATGAAAGCTTTTCTAAACACAGATAATAGCTTCAGAGGAAATGAGGTACTTAGTTTTGGAGTGCTTGCCATTTAAACTCCAGTTATAGAGTGACAACTGACATCTTATTACCACTCCAGCATTCCAAGTAATTCTTGCAACAGAGTCAAACCTGATTGTAATCGACAAATCAGATCTTTGGATCTAAAATCCTTAATTTACTATGTGTCACTCTAAAAACAGACGTCTTTTCAGAGTGATTGATTTCCTTATTTTTAGTCCCAAATTCTTCATTATTCCTTAGCTCCATTTGGTATCCAATTGTTAGTATTTTTCTTATTTCTTGAAAGAAGATGCCGGTGAGATGCCATTTGTTTTTTTGTGACTGGCTTATTTTACCTAGCATAATATCCTCAAGGTTCATCCATGTTGTAGCATGTGACAGGATTTACTTCCTTTTAAAGGCTGAAAGATATTCCATTGTGGGTCTATACCACACTTTATTTATCCATCGATGGACATTTGGGTTGCTTCTACCTCTTCAAATAAGCTCTCTGCCCCCCTTCACCCTTCTGGGATTCTCATAATCCATATATTGGCCCACTTGATAATTGTACCATAAATCCCTTAGGCTCTCTTCATTTTTCTTCATTCGTTTTTGTTTTTGCTCTTCCAAATCAATGATTTCAAATGACCTGTCTTCCAGTTTGCTGATTCTTTTTTCTGCCTAATCCAATCTTCTGTTGAACCCCTCTAACGAATTTTTCATTTCGGTTATTGTATTTTTCAGCTCCAGAGTTTGTTTGGTTATTTTTTATAGTCTCTGTCTCCTGGCTGATATTCTTATTTTGTTCATGCATCATTTTCCTGATTTCTTTTAGTCATGTACCTGTGTTCTCTTTAAGCTTATTGAGCATCTTTATGACTATTATTTTAAATTCTTTGTCAGGTAGTTCATAAATCCGCATTTCTTCAAGGCTGATTTCTGCAGTTTTATTTTGGTCCTTCGATTGGACCAGGTTTCTGTTTCTTTGTATGTCTTATACTTTTTGCTGGGATTTGGGTATTTGGTTTTTGTTTTGTTTTTTTTAAGATTTTATTTATTTATTTGACAGAGAAAGAGCACAAGCAGGGGGAGCGGCAGGGTGAGGGAGAGGGAGAAGCAGGCTCCCTGCTGAGCAAGGAGCCCGAAGTGGGGCTTGATCCCAGGACCCCAGGATCATGACCTGAGCCAAAGGCAGATGCTTAACCAACTGAGCCACCCAGGCACTCCAAGGGATTTGGGTATTTGAAACAACAAACACCTTTCCCAGTCTTTGCATACTGGCTTTATGCAGGGGAAGGCCACAAATCTACTGTCTGGGAGCTCTAGCACCTTTCAGACCTTTTATAATCTTGAGACCCTTGGCATTTGCCTACAGAACTGCAGCTCTAATGTGCTGCTTGCCTCTGTTTTCAAAAGCTTTCAGACTCTGGCACCGGTCCCATGAATGCTCCGAGTCTGGTGAGACAAAAACCAGCCCCTCAGGCAGCCCCCAGAGAAACCAGAACATTGCAGATATGGTCCACTCTTTAGTTTCCATCCCAAGGGAGGAGCCCTAATATGGGGGCTTCCTCCCAGTTGCTCTCTGCTCGCAGCATAGGGGGAGAGACACAAATGGGCACACTGTCGCGGATATTCCTACCCCATTCACTGGAATCCCTTCTTGGTTTTTACAATGGCCTGGGTGCTATATACCAGCTTCTCAGCTGGTCTCTGGAGTTCTCATAGAGGTATTCTAGTCTATATATTGCTTTTAATTCAGTGTTATCTCTCAAGCAAGGAGGACCTATAGCTTCCTAGTCTGCCATTGTCTTAGTCTGCTTGGGCTGCCATGACAAAATACCTCAAACTGGGTAGTTTAAATGACAGGAGTCTATTTCTTACAGTTCTGGAGGCTGGAGGTCTTACATCAGGGTGCCATCATGGCTGGGGTCTGATGAGGGCTTTCTTCCTGTCTTGTATACAGCCACCTTCTCTCTGTGTTCTAACATGGTGGAGAGACCGTAAAGTCTGATCTCTTCCCCTTCTTATAAGGACACTAATCCCATCATGGGGCCCTGGCCTCATGACCTCATCTAAACTTAATTACCTACCAAAGGGCCCCTGTTCCAGACACCATCACATTGGGGGTTTGGGCTTCAACTTAGGAACTTTGAGGAAACAAAGCATTGAGTCTATCAGTGCCATCTTGCTGACATCACTCCTGAAAAAAATTTAAACAAAAATAGTCACCCAAATGCCTGGTTAACTTCTGATCTTTGTTATGCATGCGGTAAGTAATAATTCACACTGAAGCTGAAAATCACTTACCAAAACACTCTTCTGTATTTTAATTGCATCCAGCATTCTGTCTTAGCTCAGATGTTGAAA